CAGAATTCATTCCAATATACCTGTATTGGGTAGGGTCATGGTTAAAGGCAGAATTCATTCCAATATACAATGTACCTGTATGGGACAAAGCCATGGTTAAAGGCAGAATCCATTCAGATATACCTGTATTGGGTAGGGTCATGGCTAAAAGCAGAATTCATTCCAATATACCTGTATTGGGCAGGGCCATGGTTAAAGGCAGAATTCATTCCAATATACCCGTATTGGGCAGACCCATGGTTAAAGGCAGTATTCATTCCAATATACCCGTATTGGGCAGACCCATGGTTAAAGGCAGTATTCATTCCAATATACCTGTATTACTGGGGAGGGCCATGGTTAAAGGCAGAATCCATTCCAATATACCAGTATTGGGCAGACCCATGGTTAAAGGCAGAATTCATTCCAATATACCCGTATTGGGCAGACCCATGGTTAAAGGCAGTATTCATTCCAATATACCCGTATTGGGCAGACCCATGGTTAAAGGCAGTATTCATTCCAATATACCTGTATTACTGGGCAGGGCCATGGTTAAAGGCAGAATTCATTCCAATATACCTGTATTGGGTAGGGTCATGGTTAAAGGCAGAATTCATTCCAATATACAATGTACCTGTATGGGACAAAGCCATGGTTAAAGGCAGAATCCATTCAGATATACCTGTATTGGGTAGGGTCATGGCAAAAAGCAGAATTCATTCCAATATACCTGTATTGGGCAGGGCCATGGTTAAAGGCAGAATTCATTCCAATATACCCATATTGGGCAGACCCATGGTTAAAGGCAGTATTCATTCCAATATACCCGTATTACTGGGCAGGGCCATGGTTAAAGGCAGTATTCATTCCAATATACCCGTATTACTGGGCAGGGCCATGGTTAAAGGCAGAATTCATTCCAATATACCTGTATTACTGGGCAGGGCCATGGTTAAAGGCAGAATTCATTCCAATATACCTGTATTACTGGGCAGGGCCATGGTTAAAGGCAGTATTCATTCCAATATACCTGTATTACTGGGCAGGGCCATGGTTAAAAGCAGAATTCATTCCAATATACCTGTATTACTGGGCAGGGCCATGGTTAAAGGCAGAATTCATTCCAATATACCTGTATTACTGGGCAAGGCCATAGTTAAAAGCAGAATTCAAACTCCAAGTTTGTAGTATACTTATAATATAAATATGAATTTATTAAACACAAGTTTTCAAATGGTGATTTTAGGTTTATTACCTATTTCGGGTTTATAAAAATCAAAACTATTTTGGTAACATACCTTCACAAGATATTCTTGTCTAAAAGTGTCACTGCTTCACATTCAGTCTACCATAATCTGTGTCAAGTGTCAATGAAAAAACATATTCCGTAAACTTCTGCCTGATTGATCAAAGTGTAATAGACATCCATGATGCAATTTATTTTTCATTTCTATATATAGACTTGACATTTATAAAATCGCAATTTTGCGTGGACTTGAACAGCTTTTGCTAGAATTTTGTGATGTGTTGTAATAAATGCAGTCATTAACATTTAAATTAAAAAAGCTGTTATATATATATGAGTTGTAAACAATACAGTATACTTTTCACATGCAGAAAGCATGCCAATAAATTGACATGTACAGTGATCAGTAAAAAAATATGGACTGCAAATATATTTCTCAATACTGACGAATAATAGATAATTTGACCTTACACACATACATGTAGTATTAGCATGTGCAACCTCTTTTCTCTCCCATAATGCAACAGGAGGTACTGAGTTCTCCAGACGGATTGATTACCAAAAAAAACAATCTGTAGACATCTTAATTACCATTGATTTGTTAAATAAACCTTAAATGCATGTATTTTGTAATAATATAATAATAATATCTCGTCAGCTCAAATTAATATGTTTTTGGAAGATACCGGTCATTCTAAAAAATATAAAGAAGAAAATGATGATAAGAAGAAAGAAACAAAATATTTACAATTTGATAAGAATGTTGTGTGTTAAATTAAACACAAGGATATGCTGCATATGTAAAAAATTATCAACACTCCTATAAGACATTATTCCCTCTATTAGACAGTGTAATGAAAGTGTGTGTGAATAAACACAATAACTGCAGAGATTTTTATGGTTCAACAATTGTTGGAGATTATTCCACTCACTTTTTTATGGTGAATTATGCAGAATAAACATACACATCTAAATTTTATCAAAATAACACCTTAAATGTTTTTTGTTGTTTCCATGGTTACTTATCGTAATGAATCTTAATTTCGTTTTCACCATTTAATAAGTATAATGGAAGCCCATTAACTGCAACTGAACTAGATAGTCACAAGTGGTGATCCCATAAAGTAATGCATATTCCAGCTAAATAGATCATTTTCATGACATCTAAAGGTCATACATCCTGGTACTTTTATTGGTATGTGTCCATGCATGTGTCCAGACCGATATCTTAGGCATACCTGGACCGAATACATTTAAACTTCACACATACGTCATACATATATATATATATATATTATCATTATATATGTGCACATCAATTTGTTTTGTACCAAAATCAAGCATTTCTGGCATTCCAGAACTGGATCTTGGGTGTTTACAGATGGATTTTGTTCAAACTTGGTACATACATTGAACATTATGAAATTTTGATGCATATTATTTTGTTTTTCTGATTAAAAATGGCCGACTGATGGCCTTTTTGTTTTATTCAATGCGGTTCTAGAGCCATAACTCTGACATGCTTTGACTGATTATGTTTTATATTTTATATATTCATTATACATCCTGTCATAGATATACAGATGTATTTAAAATAGCCAATTGGTGCTGTTTCAGAGCAATATCTCTCAATATGGATAAGTTCTCGTTTGATAATCAAATACAAGATGACTGAATGTCAACCATATTAATGTTAAAAGATCATGTTTATGTTCCAAATATATTACTATAAACAAAACTATATATCTTAAATTTGATAACTACTGGTGACTGTGCCATGGTTAAATATTGCAGTGCAATTTCCTGGACTTAAATAATTTGTTCAGCTACTAATGAGTAAAATGTTTTTGTTAGAAACAAAAAGACACATTAAAATGACCCATGTTTGTGTTTCTTTCATTTCAACAAAACTTTCAGAATGTGTGGTCATGAAAGTCACCTATGAATGATTTCCTACAAAGAATAAATAATAGGTTGAACGAAAAAATATAGGTGTGATGTTTACTTCCCGTAAATGCTGATTAAGATTAATGCTGCCTTCAATGTAATTTCAATTTTAATTTCTTTGTTTTCTAAGTGCATATACCTAACACCCAGTGGTGAATAAAGTTTCATTACATCAGGCTCAAAGTAAATTCCCAGACACTTACTGCAAGATTGTCATCACGTCTTGGGGAATTACTCAGATCGCAATAACTGATTATATGTACCTTTCACATCTTATAGATCCAAACCTGTGGTGAATTTGGATGTGAATATTCGATTCAGTACAGATTTCATTGATTTAGAGGATAAGAAGTGTGCAGATCATGGTATTCCTGTAGCATGGTAAGTAGTATAGCATCACTGGACTCTTTAATTACTCGCAATAACACCAATTGCAATCATAACTACTCAGACAGTAATTGAAAAATACAACCTGTCTTGAATACAAATTGATGTTACCATACTTTATTTCCTTTACATTGTGAGATATTTGTGTTGTCAATGTTAAAAATGTGTATAGTTCTATGAAATATGTGCAATCAGTTTTTGCATAGACCTTAACTGAAAACGATGCATGACTTGTTTCTCACAGTCAGCATGTACTAGAAACAGCCACGCCATTCTGTCCTTGGTTGTAGGTTGTACAATTATGAATTCAAACTGAGAATCTGTTAATTTGGAAATCATGCCTATCATTTCCCCCATCATTTTCCCCATATTGAATATCAGTAATTTTTTTTGTTTGAATATTTTGATAAAAAAAATCTTAGAAGCCATGGATAATTAAAACATAGGCATACACAATTATTGCACATGATGTATATTAAATAAATGCATGTATTTCAATATGTTGGCAAGTCGCAGCATTCATAGTGTCCTTTTTTCAAAATGTGTAGCTAGTTAAAATTAACATGTCATAATTACCACATGTGTCATATTGAATCATTTTTCATCTCTATCAAATGTTATTGAAGTTCAAATAAAATACTGTTCCCATATATTTTTCACATTTACAAATTTTCATTTATAGAGATGGGGGTTGAAGGTTCCACAAAAAGATTATGATTGCTATGTGCATGTTTTAATTATCATTGGCCTCTATTACAGATCAATATGTTTATTGTGAATATTTATAATTGAGTTCATTCGTTTCTGTCAAAAGATAACTGTTCATTAAACAAAACTAAAACTGCTGTGTAAAATATTTTGTTTATCTAATGTACAATAACTTTTTCTTACTGAAATGTTTTTTCCCCCTCATAACTTACAGTTTTACTCTAACGACCTGCTTCAGTTACACCGGTAGGCATGTTCCATCTAGTATAGGTAAGTCACTAGAAATTGATTTTAACCTGAAATAATGTAAAGCACAGCTGAAGAGGGTGTTGATAACTTGTTGATAAACCTTTATCTCTCTCTATCTCTCTCGCAAGACTTTAGCTGAGATATCCCACAGTGTGACCCCAAATTCTATTTTTACATCATCGTGAATGATGTTTATTCGTCAACCATAACGCCGTTCAGGAATACATTTTACCGAGTAGATACATGTTAGACCTGAAGCTTTTAAGTGTTTTCAACATCAGTGCTTGAGGCTTTTCCGACATCCTTTATACAGTCCTTGCAAATCTTTAAATATTTATCACGCTGTTTTGAATATGGTAGCCAGGTTTTCTTAGTTTTAGACTTCCTGTTAGTAAGATGTTGATGCGAAGTGGTGAAATTACCCAAGGGCATTGAATGATGAATGTAGATATCTATTATGGATTAGATTCTCATCTCGTGTTCATCATTTCATCCATATTACTTAGACATATAAGCAACAATTACGGCATAGGGATATAGATGAACAATCAAATTTATTTAAATTGTTTTAATTTCTCATTGGGTAAAATTTGACATTATTTGTATTTCTTTTTAAGTGTCCCCATACTACCTCCTGCATTTTCACCAGATATATTGTATTTAATAGTAAGAATAGATTTGTACTACAGATGAGTACTGCATTCTCAACATGTGATTGCATTCAGTAGCAAACTGCATTCTTATCACTTGATTGCATTCTCACCAACAGCAGTGAAAATTCTGTAGCAGGCTGCATTCTTATCACTTGGTTGCATTCTCGCCAACAGCAGTGAGGATTCAGTAGCAGGTTGCATTCTCATCACTTGATTGCATTCTCACCAACAACAGTGAAAATTCTGCAGCTAGCTGCATTCTTATCACTTGACTGCATTCTCACCAACAGCAGTGAGGATTCAGTAGCAGGCTGCATTCTCATCACTTGATTGCATTCTCATTAACAGCAGTGAAAATTCAATAGCTGGCTGCATTATCACTTGATTGCATTCTCACCAACAGCAGTGAGGATTCAGTAGCAGGCTGCATTCTCATCACTGGATAGGCTGCATTCTCATCACTTTATTGCATTCTCACCAACAGCAGTGAAAATTCTGTAGCAGGCTGCATTCTTATCACTTGATTGCATTCTCATTAACAGCAGTGATAAGAATGCAGCTGGCTGCAT